TTTTTTTAGCGGTACGATTACGATGCTTTCTCCGAATTACAGGGGGACGGCCTTCCAAGACGGACTCCATCTGATCCCCTGACACATGGGGATGGAGCCAATCCGAGGTACATAGGTACGAATTAGACTCTCCCAGTCGGCAGTTATGTCATTAACGACATCTACCACGATAGAAAGGGAGGCGTGAGACACTTTCGCTTGCGCTGTTGCGGTTGCTACATAGAGCAGTTTGTGTTAGGAGGGAACGAGGCGAAGCGCTTAACAGGACCCGTTGCCAGCTTTCAATGTAAAAGCTAGAATTCACTTAGCTAATACGAGTACCACGTGGACTGAAAGAGGGCAGGCACGCCAGGCAGGGAAACCAAACCTTTTCTCATGCATGATTTTTTCAAAGAAACAGACATCTTACATCAAACTAGTTGACACTATAACCGTTCACGATGGGGTGTTCATGTCCATCTAGGTTGTGAACCATTATTCTTGTTTCCCAAATAACTCATTGTTTTTAACCCGGACCGACCCGTCGGGTCGACCCGGACCAATACATATGGTGAGATAATATCATCACCTGCCTGATACCTGAACATCTGGCAGCGAGGACGGGAAACCTTGAGAGCACCGAGAAAATGGCCAGAAAATTGTGCACGCCGAGATTGCTTGCGATGTGGCAGATGGGGCCGGTTTGGGCGAGAACAGTGCGATAAGCCTTTATTTTATTTGTATTTTGATTGGAGTTATTAAACGAGATTAGCGGAACTCAAATTTTTATACTTAAGTACGAGTTTAAATCGGCGTATCCCATATCCCGAGTTCGAGTCACTGGGAGGGGAATTGGGGAATCAGTATTAATCCTCCTTTTTTTTTTAAAAAAAAAAAAGTACGAGTTTAAGATTATCCCGAGCTAAACAAGTTTAAGTTCACTCGTTAAAGTTAGTTTATTAATGTTAACAAGTCGAATTCAAACTTTATCGAATCAATAAGATAGAAATTCAGATATTACATAAAAACATTTATTCTCTGATTTTAACAAGTCGAGCTCACGAACGACTTATTTCGTGATTGTGATCAACTCTTTATTATTAGTAAACCTCAAATAACTGATTACTAGTATTCCACTATTTGTTTCAAAAGTTTAATTATACGGTCACTTATACACTTTAAAAAATACATCCTATCTATATATTTTACAATATTCACTAACAAAGAATATAATATATGTTTTTATAGCAAATAAAAAATCCCAACACAGTCACCATGAGACTCGAGGTTGGTTTAGTAATCAAGAATCGTTGTTCAATACATACTTATATGGATATGTATGGTTGGTTTAGTAATCAAGAATCGTTCAATCAATACATACTTATATGGATATGGAAGCATGTATGTCGATTTAATGATAAAAACCGTTAGTCTCGACTTCTCGAAACTTCTCAAAACGCCCACCCTAGTTTGCTTCCCCAACAATACTCAACATTTATCACACCAAATTATTTTTACACTAACTAAATTTTACATCAATACTCAACTTTTGGGAGTTTTTGGATCAAATTTGGATCGGCCTAAGTTATTGGACTAAAATGGGAAACAACTTAAGTTACTGGACTAAAATTGTAATTTTCTCATAATTTAACTTAACCACCATGTTGTCACAATGAGTTCTTGAACAACATCTCAATTGATTGACCAATAAGCATTATAATCTTATTATGGAATATCAAGTAACATCCAAGGATTAATAAATCAAAGTAATTATTAGACAAGGTGAAAAGCATTATATCATTTGATCTACCAACTGAAACAATTAAAATGAACTCTTTAAATCAATTCAAGTTGGTATGAACTAGATGTGCAAACGGGTTGAACTGAGTCGAGCTCAAATAAAATCGAGTTGAGCCAAATTTGATCGTTAACCAAATGAGCTCGATACTAACGAGTCGACTTGAGATTTAATGAGGCGAACATGAGCTAAAATTTTATAAAATTAAAGGTTCAACCAGTTAAACAACAAAACGAGATTGAACTTAACTTATATTCGAGCTAAGCTTGAGCTTTAATGAGTTGGGCTAAATCGAACACATGCTATTCATTTCGTTTAACAACTCTAACTAAGTTTGAGTCATAACGAGTCGGGTGAAATCGAATAGCGCTTATAAAACTCAAATTGTTTACATGTCTTGAATAAATGTTTCATTGTTACTATCAAATTATTTTATGTGATTCTCCATGCACAAGTCATGTAACCTTCGAGTTCCCCAGTTCGTGAAGCCTTCGGGCTAGATAGTTAGGTTATGTCCGAGTACTCCGTAGATTGTTTTACACATAAAGCGGGTTGGAAAATTCACAAGTCATAGAAAAAAGAAAACATTGTAGTTTAAAGAAAATAGTATTATCACTAACAAATAATGCTATGATCGTGTATGCATGTACCCGTATTGTTGTATTGCTATATTTTTTGCGCTTTTCTAATTACGTTTTCTTTTTACGGTTTGTGACATGGTGCTCTACCAAGCTTGGACTATGTCATTCTCTTGCTTCATGTCGTATATTTTTGAGTTAGGAGAAAATAATGTTAATTTTTATTTTTATTCTTTTCCCTGTTCTTAATTCAAGTTATTAATATTCTATTATCAATATGAAATAAGTTTATATGCTCTTCAAATTGCATATTGCTTTGATCTAACATTCTTATGAATTATATATTCCTTTTATCTATAAAATGACACAATAGAAACTCAAAACTTGCAACATCATAAAATATATAAAATGACAATAGAAACTAAAAAACATACAACATTATATAAAATCGGTCGTCTCCCCCTAGTGTTTTATTGAAAGAAATGAGCATGGAATTGAGGAAAAGGTCGGGGACTGCTTAATAATAATACACAAAGGACGCATCGTATTGTTTGGATAATAATACACAAACATTCGAGAGAAACAGTCTAATCGTTAATTAGACGAGTCGATATGTTGTGCTGATTTTTATATGGGTTGTTGATTTTTATATGGGTTGATGCTCGTGTTATTTGAATATCAATACAACAAACTTTTGAGGAGTAATCGTTAGACAAGTTAGACACGTTGTGCTTATTGTTATATGGGTTGATGATTGTGTTGTTTGAATAATAATACAACAAACTTTTACGTGATAATCGTTAGACGAGCCAACTTGGATTGAGAATGAGATCTGTTACAACTTTTTAAGATTTGTTCAACAAATAAACTATATACGAAATCTTACTCCAAATTCATAAAATTTTCGTAAGATTCCTCATAAATTTAAAAAATTTAAAAAGCTCAAATTTGAAAGTTTTCAAATGTCACTCAAAATCTCAAATAAATACTATCATTCTCTTCGGACTTGTTTTCATTCTAGATGAGGTAAGTTCTTAATTTTTATGCTTAATGATTGAATATTACTATTGCTACAGAATTATGGTTACGTGGTAAGATAATATTTCTTTGTCACTCTACGATGTTCACAACTTAGTTCTTTGATTAACGGAAATTGAAAATATTGGTCTTTTTTAATCTTGTTAGCAAACTATATGGCATCATCAAGAATTATTATTCACTTTACAAAAGGAAAAACTAAGAAAAAAAAAATAGTAAATAGAGACAAGAAGCATTTCAACAAAATTATAGGAGGCTTGTTTTGAGTTTATATTTTTTGAGGGAGGAACTTTCTTTAATAAGTGACCACAGTTTGTGAAAGCCTTAGATAAATCCCCTGGCAAATCATGTAATTTGTTAAGCTTTTATAAATTATAGAAGTTTGGTAAACTTTTTTTTTTAAGAATATATGAGGTGTAGAAATAAGCAAAAATCCCAAACATTAAACATTGACTATTTATTTTACTCCCTCCAACTGAACAAGCAAAGCAACTAAGAAAAAAGACAATCCCTTTAATCAAACAAACATTTAAGTTATTTATTACATTTTTGCAGTGAAAAGAAAACTAAGGATAACTACACGGTTTAAGATTGTTATTTAAGTTCTTCTGGTCAACCAACCATATTTGATCTTCTCGATCCTCATTCATACGAAACTAAGCTCTCTTTGTTCTCAAAGCTCCGCACGATGTCCTTTCTTCACAATCCATGATACCCTTTCTTCACAATCTGGTGGGTCATAGAAACTAAAGGAAACATTTTAAATTATTTATTACATATTTTTTTATGTTTTTTTACACTGCACACAATTATTAAAAAATGTATTAATTACTAAACCACTATTTTTTTTTATTATAGAACACAATATTTCTTTTTATTTTTTTTCATCTAACCTACTCTATCATTTAGTACTTTATTATTTGTAATATAAAATTCTTCAAATTTTTTAAAAAATCTAAGCAACTACATCGTGACTTTCGGGAGTTTCTAATAAATCCTACAAAATCCACAAAAATTAATAGAATGATATGAAATCCTACAACTTTGTTAAGAAACCAGATGATTGGTTCTTTTATGAAACTAACTACCAATAAGACAGTGCCATGTATTATTCACAGTCCATGTGGCACTGTGTCATGGGTGGTTAAGGGAACCAACTAGAAGAATTGTGAAATCCTATACTTAAAAAAAAATCTTTTAGAACTTAGAATAAAATGTCTCAAAATTTCTCGAGCGGAAAAAAACCTAGAAAGAAAAAGGGATGGCCGCCGTCACACATCTATCCAATCTGTGCTTCTCTAATGCCTCAATGGAGACGACAACGCGTAGCAACCAACCATCGATGGCTTCTTCACTACTCGTGGCCCGTACGATTCGCCGGAAAGCGTTCCCCAGCTGTCGGATTATCGGGAAATGGAAGCCCTTACATTCCCGTCCGATGAGCACTGGCCGGACGGCGCAAACTCCACCCTCATCTTCCCTAGTGACGTATACTTGGCTGATGCTCCCCCCGTCTTGGAATCCGATTCCACCACCGCGGCTTACAAATTCTACAGCCTAGGCGAGAATTGGGTCGTAACCCTAACCTGCGAAGGGGCGGCGGTGTCATGTTCTTCACGGGCTCTTCCCACGGCTGGGTCGGGCTTTGGAACCCCCACACCCACGATATGTTCCTCTACAACCCCATATCCGGCCGCCACATAAAGCTTCCCCCATTTAACGTCCTCCCCCATTACAACCACGACCCGGTTATAGACTCGGTTGGCGTGGAGAAGATCATTCTCTCCTCCTCCCGGGACGACGAGGCCTGCAGGGCCGTGATTATCTACAAGCTGGACGGAATGATGGCCTTCTGTTGCCCGGCCTGGCCCAACGACACGTGGATTCCAATGGGTGACCCGTTGGGCCCGGACGACGGGATGAATCCGGGTGGCAGCTACAGTGACTGCGTCTACTCCCCGGGCCACGGGCTCTTCTTTGCCTTCACACAATACTATAACTTGGAGTGTTGGGACCTGCAGGGACCCGTGTTCCCCTGCTTCAACTAGGGTTGCTGTCTTGCTGATGATTTGAGTCTGCGCAGGTGTCCTCAGTGGGAGCCCAAGCCCACGACCTGGCTGGCCGTAATGGGCCGGGGGCCCGGGACATCCTCTTTGTGACTCCACACACGACTGACGTGGTGAACTTGGAGGGCTTGTGTTGGGTCGACTCTATGGACTACGGACAGATAAAATTAAAGCCGTTGCCCTACTTCCTTACTATTGATTTTGATGTGGATAGATATGACCCGGAAGGTGGGGATCTGGTGAGGTGCTCCTCGCTCGGGAATTGGGCTCTTTTTGTGGGGGCCTGCAGCCACGCGGTTGCGTTGCCTGCGTCCCAGCTGCCCGGGCGGCTCAGGTCCAACTCCATTTACTTCACTGATATGGAAGGCACCAAGGTGTTTCAGGATAATGATCAAATTATCAACGGCAACGACATTGGCATTTTAGATTACGAGAAGACGACAGTGTCACCGTGCTATTATCCAGTCGATATCCGGAAACTCAAGAAGATTTTCCTGCCGCCTATTTGGTTCTTCCCCAACCTCGCCTCTAACTGTTAGACGCTACCTTTCTCCTAGCATGTTACAACTATTTTTTGTGTAATAAAACTCACTTCTATTCATAAGAACTCGAGTTTGGCTGGTTGATTTTATTTGAACGAGTTGTGCTCATACAATTTTCGAGCGATCGAGCACAACATATTTGCTAGTGAGGTGATCATGCTCAACAACAAAATATACCTGTTTATTAAACAAGTAGAGTCGAACATGTTGTAAATATTTTTCTCTTTTTTATGTACAAGTTTCGAATGATCGAATAGGATTAGAACATATTTGAAAGACGAACCAATCGTATTCACGAGCAGCTTGTTTACGATTTTATGTTTATTGTACTAAGTTGAATTGATGTTAAACGAACCGACTAATTTATTAAACCTAACCGATTTACAAATTCACAAATCACAAATTTTTCTCAATTGTAATAAGAAAAAAGATTTTTTTTTAAATGATTATTAACGGCATTTTCTAAATTAATTTTAAAAGAAATAAAAAAAAGAAAAAGAAAATAAACACAGTCTTCCCTTTCACGACGTAACGCCACGTCGACAAATACTTTTTAATTTTTATTTATTAAATTAAAAGCGTGCTAAGTAACCCATGTTTAAGATTCCGCCGCACGTGCGAGTCTCTTATAAAAACCGCGAACAAACCTCCGCTTCATTTTAGCCTAAAATTTCTAAGAGAGGGAGAATATAAAATATAATTAAATAAAAAAGTACATCCTCTTGAGTCACTCCGCGGATAAATCCCACGTCATCACCGGAATATTCCTTCTCCGGCCACAGGTACTGTTCTCGGAAGCCTCTTCCGATTCATCGAGGGGCGAAAAATCGGATTTATTGGAGTCCGATTTTCCATTATTTTCGTAATTTTATAATTTTTAGTTTAATTTGGCGGATTGTTTTCAATCGAATAACATTTCCAGGTTGTGGAAACTTGAGCTGGGCTTCATGTATGGTGTCTCAATTTTTGTTGCAGATTCAAGTGTGTTTAAGGATGAACAGTAGAGTGATTGTAGTATTTTGGACAGTATGAAATTGATTTATGAATTAGCGCATCTCGTTCGTGCTTCCCTTTTCCTCTTCTTACAGTTAACCAATTCTAGAAAAACATCGAAGTAGTTGCGTTTTTTCTGCGTAGAGGAGAATGAATTCACTTTTATAATTTTGTTGTGCTTTTGTTTAATCATATCCGTTAATAGGATTGATGGGTTGGGCTGTGAAATTTGAGTTTGAGTTTTCGTAAGGAATTATACTGAGTTTCTTGCTATGTCTGAGCTTTTGCTTCAATGATCATTAGACTGAGTAATATCGTTTGTTGGGATTCATAAGCACGTACTTTCGCGTTTCATGAGCATAAGGGGCGGTTGATTTATCTCACATATGATTAGCTCAATCTATTGAATGTGACCATTTATTTCCTTGAGGTGAGCTTCTACTGAAATGTTATATTGTTCCTATTACTTCTGAGTAACAACATTAGATATTGAAAAAACTTGTAGGAGATAGCTGCAGAGGAGGATAGCCTCTTTAAACAAAGCTGCGGGACTTTCTGGTAAGTTCAGCTATAGGGAGGTCCTTCAATTTGATTATAATTCAATTTATGGTGATCATAAGTAGAATGATTGACATGAGCAATAAGACCCAGAAGTGGTTAGGACATGTTTAAGCACGGGTTCGATTCACTTTGCATGGATAGAGCAACTTCTTAAACTAACCATAATGAAAAAATTTGAGCAAACTTAGATCGCATCTGCCAAACTTACGCAGTTTAGTTTACTTGCACTACAAGAAATATGAGTTTTACCAACGGAATAATCCATTGGTAAACAAATTTCCCAACAGAATGCCAACGGATTACCAACGGATTTCTGTGTTGCTATATGGCTTGTTGGTAATTATTGCCAACGGAATATGCAATCCATTGGTAAATTTCTCAACAGATTACCAACGAATTTGCAACAGAATCACTCCATGAGATTGTCAAGGAATTGCCAACAGAAAACGTAGTTGCGAAATCATTCCGTTGGTAAATTACTAACAGAAAGCCAACATATTAGTTACGGATATACCAACGGATTACCAACAGATTTTTCCCAACATATTACCAACAAAATTTTCCCAACGGATTGCCAACGAAATTCTCCCAACGGATTACCAACGGAAATTTTTCCCAACGGATTACCAACGAAATTTTTTCCCTAACAGATTACCAACGAAATTTTTTCCCAACGGATTACCAACGGAATTTCTTCCCAATAGATTACAAACGGATATTTTCCCAACAGATTGCCAACGAATTTTTTCCAACAGAATACCAACGGTTTTTTAGCAACAAAAAATTGTTGATCCAACTTGAAGGCTGCAACCACCTGACCCACCTTGAACCACATGGCTCACAATGAGAGCCCATGACCATCCACCAATATAATCCTTACAAACTCACTCAATTCTCACAACACTAGGGTTTGAACTCAAGACCTCTTGCATGTCAAAGAGGTAACACCACCACTAGGCTATATGAATGTATGCGACATGATTCTACAATTCTTTTATATGAATGTATGAGACATGATTCAACTCGTATGTAATAGTTGATAAATATAAGAATTGTAGAATATAAATCACATTTTGTTTTTAAATTCATGAAAATTTCTATATTATTTATCCTCCAACCGTTCAATTATATTTAGTGTTTTTATTAATATGTCTAATTATAAAATAGTGAATATATATATAAGTATCTATAAATTTATGACATTTTGAAATGAACTAGTACCAATCTCGTGCGACGCACGGGTAAGAAATATGTATTAAAATTTATAAATTAAAAAGACTCATTAAATAATATTTATAAATTTAAAATATAGAATTAGTATGTAATACAATTTACGTATATTAATTTATTACAAATATTATATGAAATTTAAATTGTGCACTAATTGATAATAAATTATATTATATTTTTTCCAAACAAGTTTCATTTTAAATTTGTTTAGTTTTATAAATTCTATTTAACTACAATGTGATTCCAGAAAAGAAATTTTTTTGGTAAAATTTTATCATATATTTAAATATATATATATATATATATGTATATATATAATAAGTATAATTATAAAACTTATATTGTGTAGTTAATTAAAATAAATTTAATTTTGTATAAACTATCCAAATCAAAAAATTTAAGTAGTTGAGTAGTTTATTAAATTATAAATAATAAACTATTTCATTTACATTCAAGTTAATATTAATCCGTAAGTTATGAATAATTACTTATTTAGCTTTTAAATTTGAAACTTAAATTTGGACTACACAATAAATTTTCTTTTGTGTGTGTATATATATATATATACACACACACACACTTACACACAAGCGCAACTCGTACGGTGCACTAATTGATAATAAGTTATGTTATATTCCTTTCAAAATAAGTGTCATTATGATTTTTTTTTTCTGAAATTAAAAGAAATAATTTGGTAAAATTTTATCATATATTTAAATATCTATATAAATAATAAGTATAATTATAAAACTTATATTGTTTAGTTAATTAAAAGAAATTTATTTTTGTATAAAGTATCCAAATCAAAATTTAAGCAGTTGTATAATTTAATAAATTATAAATTTCCATTTACGTTGAACTATAAATGTAGTAGTGAATGATTTTATTTTTATTTATACTAATAAATTAAGAAGAAAAATATAAATTTTGATGAATAGTAGAATTTTTAGGAAAAATCATACCCTATTGTAGATTTAATAGTTAAAAGTAAAATCACCTTGTTAGATGAAATGAAAATAAATTGCAGGTTATGTTACATATGTACATTAAAGTATTATAAGTTAGTATAAATCCTTTGATATTTACCAACAGAATAAATTCTTTGCTATTTACCAATGAAATGGTCTGTTGTTAAGACAACACAATATCTATTTTGAATTTGTTTAAATATTTTTAAACTAATTACATAACTAAATAATTTTAAGGTATATTAAATATTTCTCATTATATATATACATACATATATAAAGAATTTTATTTTTCTAAGTGTTATAATAATAATAATAATGTCATTATATGACAATGAATTTTGAAAATAATGGTTGAGTATTATTTTTAACAAATATAAGTAAAATTATTATTTTGTTTATGTCAAAAAATAAATATAGAAATCATTTGCTAATACAATATTAAAAGTGTTTGTTGCTATTTGTCAACGAAAAAATTTTCGTTGCTATTTACCAAACAAATAATCTGTTGCTAACACAATTTTAGAAGAGTTTGTAGCAACGGAAAAAATCAGTTACTATTTACCAATGGAATAATCTGTTGCTAATACAATTTTAGAAGAGTTTGTTGCTATTCCGTTGGTATTTCCCAACGGAAAAATTCTATTTTTATTTACCAACAGAATAATTTGTTGCTAATACAATTTTGGAAGAGTTTGTTGCTATTTCGTTGCTATTTGCCAACGGAAAAATTCTGTTGCTATTTACCAACGGAATAATCCGTTGCTAATACAATTTTTAAAGAGATTGTTGCCATTCCGTTGGTATTTGCCAATGGAAAAATCGTTGCTATTTGCCAACAAAATTATTCTTTGTTAATACAATTTTTATAGAGCTTGTTGCTATTCCGTTGGTATTTACCAACGGAAAAAAATTTGTTGCTATTTACTAACGGAATAATCTGTTGGTAATACAATATTGAAAATGTTCGTTGCTATTTACGAATAAAAAAATTCTATTGTTATTTTCCAACAGAAAATCCGTTGCTAATACAATTTTGAAAGAGTTTGTTACTATTCTATTACTATTTGCCAACGGAAATAATCCGTTGCTATTTACCAACGGAAAAATATCCGTTACTAATATAATATTATATTGATGATGTCCGTTGCTATTCCGTTGTTGTTTGCCAACTAAAAAAATCCGTTGCTATTTACCAACGGATTAATATGTTGCTAATACAATTTTGAAAGACTTTGTTGCTATTCTATTGGTATTTTGTTTGTGTTTACTAACGGAATATTTCCGTCACTATTTGCCAACGGAATACAAAGATGTGATTTTCCGTTGCTATATCTTGTTAGTATTCTGTTGTTAATATGTTTAGAAAAATTGTATATATAATGCATTGCTAATTCGTCGGCAATCCGTTGGCAATCCCTAACGGAAAAATTTTTGTTGGTAATTTCCGTTGGCATTTTGACAATTTCTTGTAGTGTTGTAGCACAAAGATTGTTGTCCTCCACTTGAAACAGACGATTAACAGGTCCTATATTGGCAGTACCGAAAATGCCATACCTCGTACGCGAGCATTTGTTCATCGGTAACATTGGAGATGCTGCAGAAGTTCTCCAAAATGGAAGTGATGACATCACGCACATACTCTCGGTTCTAAGCTCAGCTTCGATTTCTTTCTTCTCGGAGTGGCGAAGTGGGATTTCAATCCCAACTAAAGAAATCCAGAAGGTTTTTGTTGGGGACTCTCATTCAGAAAATGGGTCCAAGAGCGCACTCTCACCGGATAAGCTCCTCTACTCACTCGAGTATGCGGGTAAGGATTTGAAGTTTGTGAGGATGGCAGTGCCTCTGAGGGATATGGAGAGCGAGGACTTGCTCGATTATTTGGATGCAGCTTTGGATTTTATCGAAAATAGTCGGAATGAGGGTTCGGTTTTGGTTCACTGCTTTGCAGGTGTATCGAGAAGGTATAAATTATTACATTGATCTGCATCAGTTTAGAACAAAGAATATCAATACTAATAAATGCTAGTGCTGCTGAATCTTGTCAGTTTTGTTATTAGAGTTGTGCTTTCTTTAGTTCACAATTGCTCATTATCGTTCTTCTTGTTATTGCCTTATAATATTTAGCAAAGGCATACATTGTAATTGGTTTTGTTTTGTTCTCTGCTTTGTCAAGCCCTTAAGGGTTTACACCCTTCTTTGCCTGTGTTCGTTGCAGTGCAGCTATCATTACAGCATACCTGATGAAAAGTGAACGGCTCACTGTAGATGGTAAAGAGTTGCAAATATCAACGAGTTTGCTTCTTTCTATTGTTAGTTTATTATTTTCTAATCTCATGTTTTTTTTTTTCCACGAAACAATTGGTCATTAGATGCTATTGAGTCTTTGAGACAGAGCTGTGAATCTGTATGCCCGAATGATGGCTTCCTGGAGCAGGTGACTTAAATGGGACTCATCTGTCATAAAAATTAGTCAACTTCAGTTTATTTTTAATCTCCTCTCGAAATTTGGTTGCAGTTGAAAATGTTTGAAGAAATGGGTTTTAAGGTGGATCGTGATAGTCCAATATACAAGCGCTTCCGCTTAAAAGTATTAGGTTTGTATCTTTTGTCTGAATTATTGTGCTTTCTTATTACATTACATTGTGTACTATGTACTAGTTCATTTGATTTTTATTTATTTTTTTTTCTCCCTATTGTCATAGTTCCTGGTTAACTTTTTTTTTTTAATACGGTATGTGTGATTTTGTCTACATCGAATGAAATAAACCTCAAAATTTGACAGGTGAGACCTATAACCGTGGAGAGAAAATAGATAGTTCCAAGTTCGGGCCTGACCCGAGCTTCCCTGCTGAAAAGCTTTCTTCCAATTCCGAAAGATTGACCAATAACGAAGCTCGGCCCAATACTCCTGCTTACCGTTGCAAGAAATGCCGCAGGCTAGTTGCCTTGAAAGAAAATGTCGTGGATCATGTTCCGGGAGAGGGCGAAACGTGCTTCAATTGGCGTAAAAGGAGTGGTACTTTTAGCAGATCTGAAGATGACGAGTGTTCTTCTATCTTTATCGAGCCTCTTTGCTGGATGAAAGCTGGTACATTTTTTTTTTATTATTTTTTTGATCGAGTCTTTATCATAGGAAAAATAGTACGTAAAGGCGTGAACTTAATCACGATAGTGAACTTTCTTATGGTACACACAAGTCTGCACATTTTCATCATAACTGCTGAAACGGGACTTCCGCACCATCACTTCTAAACGGAAACGCACTTCAAGTAAAGTTGTGATGGTTTTGACTCGAGCTTCTTAGTCAGGAACCAAACCTGATTGATTATAGCTTTTACTAGCTTTACTGCCTAATTATTTTGAAAATTATACAGTTGAAGAAGGTGGTCTGGAGGGAAAGCTATCGTGCATCAACTGTGAAGCTCGTTTGGGTTACTTCAACTGGTCCGGCATTCAGTGCAGTTGCGGAACCTGGATTACACCTGCATTCCAGCTTCACAAAAGCCGAGTCGACATCAGCACTATCTAGAACCTTCTTCCCGGGTTTTTTTTATCCGACTTGTTGCTTTTTTTTTTCATGTGATTTGGTGACTTGATGAAAATTAGGTAATTTTTCACTTTATAGTGATGAAATTGAAAGTGGATCTTGGAATGACGGCTTCTTTTCATTGGTCTTAATCTTTTACATTTTATATAATGTACTAAATTGATCACATTTAGAACTTTTAAATTCAAAATCACAGTCAAACCAAATAAGATAGAGAATGAGGTAACACAGGTCTAGCAACAATCAAAAGTCCCGTAAGTTAAAACTTCCTACTATACACTGCAATCAGGTCTAGAGCTAAGTCAAAGTCCCTCTTAACTAAATAAATGCA